GCCACGGCCACCACCAGCACCACGCGGGCGCGGCGGGCCGCAGGGGCAGCAGGACGCTCGACCGGCACGCGCGCCGCCACCACGGGTGAGCCCCCAGCAACTAGAACTGTGTAGCTAACGATTTAGTTGTAAAGCAGCTAAAGCAAAGTGCTTTAAAAATTAAGGCAAGTAGCTGAACACAGCTAATTTGTCAGCGAAAAAGCAAATCATAGCTTGGGCAAAACAAACAGCTAAACCCAGCAAACTTGTTAGTTACATATCAAAACAGTCCATTTGATAGTAGTAGTAGTAGTAGCTAAATTAAGCTCTAGTTTTTGCCAAAAAGATATACAGCTCCTGTTTATGTACAAAGCAAAATAATTAGTTATACCGTTTTGGTTCAACTGTATGGCTAAATACTTCTACTCCGTGCGGCCTGACCGTATGCTTGTTGTCCTGCAGGAGCGGGAGCGGGGGTCGCTTCCGGCGAGCACGCCTCCCTTCGCTGCAGACGGAGTCGCTGTGGGAGCGCGGCGAGGACCGACGCGGCGGCGGCGAGCAGCGCGGGGGCGGCAGCGACCAGGACGCGGCGCGCCGCAGCCGCAGCCCCACGCCCGAAGAGGCCCGGGGCGGCGGCAGGGGGCAGGCGGTGCTGCTGGACGCCGAGGCGCTCCTGCTGGCCGACGAGAGGGAGCAGGCCCTCGACCAGCAGCACGACGAGGACGGCGGCGACGACGAGGAGGACGAGGAGCGGCGGCGCCAGCAAGAGGAGCGCAGGTCCCTGGAGTCCTGGAGCTCGTGGAGCACGTCCACGTCCAGGACGAGCACCTCATCCGCTAACATGCAGCGGGAACGGGAAGGTGAGTGCACGTATGGGCGCCCGCTAGAACCATAGGGGAGAGGGGAGCGACTCGAGTTGGAGTCATTCTTCCGATTCGCGAGCCGCAATTTCGCTCCGATTTCCCAAAGGCTTTTCCGACACGCCCCCCAAGACTTCGATTTTACAGCAAACCTCACCCCCCCCCTCTCCCTCCGCCACGCGTAACGTACGATCACAAGCGCAATGCCAGCGCTGCACGCAACCGCCGAGCACCAACGCACATGGCCGTGTACGGTTTACTGCTAACGATAACGCGATACAGGATTTCCCCTGTCAAAAATAGAATTGGCAAAATAAGTCGTCTTATAAGGAAAGTACTTTTCGACACTTTTCCCAGATTATTTTAGTAAGTTTTAAAATACAACAGGACTATCATTAGCACAACTAAGGCGTCGAGTTTCTTCGTCTTACATATGCAACCCCCCAGCCTTCCTCCCCTACGACACACACAAAGCATGTGCAATACGATTCGGAACAATATACCAGTCCAGTAAAGATGAAATGCAGAGGAATGCGAGAAACAAGAAAACAGAAGATACCACGTTACAGCATAGTGATTTGAGCGTCAGCGCCCCTGCCCCTCGTCTAGGTAGACCACCCATCGTGCGCGCCGGCCCGGCGGACGGCAGGCCCCCGGGCGCGCGCCGGCCGGCGGGTGCTCCTGGCCTGGGACGGGCAGAGGGGGCGCGCGGCCGCGGGACAGCAGGTGCACGACGACTTGGCGCGCCGCGACGCGCCGCTGCTGCTTGGCGGCCTGTCAATGTCGTATCCCTCCACACGCCAGATTAATGAAAATTACGATGTAATCACCGCTAACCCCCCCTCCCCAATCCCCTCCCCTTCACCAGCCCGAGCGGCGGGTGGAAATACACGTAGTCGCGAGTGCGCCTGGGGGGCGCCCCGTGTTTTTGCACACATTCCTCGTCGCGGCGACGTCGCGGTTTAAATCTGGGGGAAGAGAGGGAGGTTAACAAGGGTTCAAACTTCGGAACTAACTGGCCTTCAAAGCCTGCCGGGAAATACTCGCTGGCATATACTATTATTCCAGCAAAGAGTATAGAAAACGCCGCAAGCGACAGACTCGCCCACCGACATGACGGGCATGACCCAATAAAATGTTTCCTTCACCCACCAAAGCGCAGGTCGGGGAGGCCCCGTGGTGGCCGTGCTCCACCTGGCCCTGGCCGCTGCGTTGCGCCCCGTCCAGTGCAGACCACACCCTGGGCCCCGGGCGCGGGCGCGGCGGGGGGTGCGGAGCGGAGCGCCCCGCCAGCCCCGCGGAGGGAAGGCCATCAGGCCCTAATGCCCGTCGACCCTAATTCACTTTGTTCGCTCGAAGCGCGGCGCACTGTGGGGCAGCACATAGCACAGGGGGCGCCGGCCGTGGTGTTCAGCCATTGGAAGGGGATGCGGGCGGGCCGGGAGGGAGGGGGGGGGACTTATATTGCGACAGTGTTGATCTCGCGTCCCTTCGACCGGCGAGGCCTGGCGTGTTTAATGGAAGCTGGTAATTGAAGGCAATACCCTCTGAGCCTGATCCCCCCCCCCCCTCCGCAAACGCCTATCCAAACGGCCCATTCGTTTAGTTACCGCGAGAAATTAGCGGTATCCTGAGCAAACCTGGCGTTGAGGGGGTGGGGTGGGCGCTCACCCCCGATAGCGAGGAGGGTAGGAAAGATACGGGGTTGCATGATGAGCAGGAGACTTACCAACAGGTCTCTGCTTCGGAAGGAGCGATGAGTTGAGATGAACGGCTTTGACCTGGGTGAAGTTAGGTTAGGTGACCTCAGAGTTCTCGATGGATGAACTGTGAGAAACATTGCACGATTAAACAGCGGCATAATAATTGCCATCATCCCATATTAAAACTCTGCTTTTAAAAAGGGGTAGCTTTTCAGTGGCAATTCCTGCACTAACCTATAAAACGCGTCAGCGAGCGAGCCGGATGGGAAGGATTTGACTCGTGCAGTTTTAAACTGAAGAACTTCTCGCAGAAACAAATTCGATGTCCCGAGTCGAAAATAACTAACGTATTCTACATTCAAAACTTCGAAACACATGTCAAATTTAACTTGAAATCTACGCAAGTGCCAGTCACACCCGACACGTGAGTAGTAGTGAGTCTCGCACACTGCACGACGTCGAAACAAGAGCACGTCACGTGGTTCATCCTCTCTACTTCGATCGGCTACCGCCAGGGGGACAGTTCCACGCCGGAAAGGGTAGGACTGAGGCTCATCGGGCTGGGGCCGGGAGGTCGGGAGGTAGATGAGATGGGACCTGGCGCCGCAGATGCACCGCGAGGATCGGGGCGCAAATGGGCAACATCGGGATCGGGGGGGCTCTATGAGAAACGGCCGGCCATAAATCCGCAAGGCTCATCGCGCCGGGTGATCCCCCTTAGTGGGGGAGGGGGGGACGAAGGGGGTCACCGGTGGGTCCGCCATTACAGACTGCAGCCCCTGCAGCGCTAATCACGCCATTAATTCGCGGGGACGCAATCAATAACGCGAATCACTTTGCAGATGAATGCGGGGCTCTGAGGAGGAGCCTCGGCGGCGGCGGCGGCCTCGGGGCGGGCGGGGCGCACCCCGGCCCCGGCGAGTAATAGGCAACGAGATGTCGATCGCGCGCTGGCGGGGCCCCCAGCTACCCCGGGCAGCCCGCCCGCGGGGCCGCTAGCAGCAGCGTAGATATGAATAGTGATCCCCCCCTCCCACCTCCCCCAACCCCCCGCGCCGTCGAGACTCATCGGGAGATAAATGGACCGCCCATCTGGGCGCCGCCATCCCCATCTGGGCCAGAGGGCGCCGGCAGTGGCAGTGCTCCTCATGGCACGAGTGAGTGGTAGTAGGTAGCCGGTCGCCGCGGGCGCCAGGCCGTACAGAAGTACGCCGGCAGGCCGGGTTCGCTGTCGCGCCGCACACCCGCGACGACATGCGGGGACCCGCCGCGGCCGCCGCCGCCAGGCGCCGCGCCTCCGCCTCCAGGACGTCGGGGGCGCGCGGCCGCGGGCGCCACGGCTGCCGCCGCCAGCCCAGCCGACGCCGGCCGGGCTCCGCGAGGATCAGAGGCAGAGGTATTGTGCGTTCGCCTTGACTTTGAGGCCGTTGGCGTGGCGGCATTCTCAATACGGACCCTGCGCTTTGCTTTGGTCATTAACCCTCGACGTTAGACGGAGCTAGACGGAGCCTGAGCGCGTGAGTTTCGTGTTGGGGATGAAAGGACTGGATTCGCCGATAGAGCGCGCCACCCTCGGCCCGTGTATCGCGTAGTATCTCTTTTCTTCTGTGGATTGTGTTTGGTTGACTAATGGAAGATTGTCATGCGTCAAATTTGCGTTTCAATTGGTCCTCTAGTATCGAGGCCAAGAAAAAAGAGCCTTGATTTACCAGGGCATTCTGTTAATGTGTTGTTTTGTAAACAACTATGAGGACGGAGGAGAGGTTATGGCGGTCACAGCTCAAAATAACAGAACATCAGAGCTGGTGAGTCCCCAACGACTAAACATCACAAAATAATTCTCGACACATTTGCACAGCGGTGCTCAAACCTGGCCCGAGGAGCAACAAACTCACGTTGTATGGCAACTTGCCTTGTCACTGGGCACCTTTGTGGAGGTGTCTGGGCAACCTGGTGCTATTGACAGAGTAAGTATCGTTCCAAGGGGCTTTGCTGTTTGTTGTTTAGGTGACTCTTCTCCATGCACATGAGATGGTGCACTTACATCCAACGCACTTGGGTCTGATATATGGTCCAGTCAGTGTGAGCGGGAAACGTACCAAGTTACCAAGGTGTGCAGCAGCTGTACGACTTGAGTCGTCTAGTCTTTTGGGGTCAGGCGACTCAGCTTCCCACCTGCTAGACACTTAGGCCCAGGACTTACAGTGTAGCGGAATTATCTCTGTAGTGACCATGCTTTCCTGAATACATTGCTGTAAACTCGTTCACCTATTGGCTAAGTATTCTGCAACAATGTTGAAGTGTCACAGACTGCAACGGGGTCTGGGACGGCGGGTCTCTTTTCTTGTTAAGAAACTCCTGCCGGTGCCGCTCTGGTTGTCGGTCGCGCGCGCGTCAGCCGTCACCAGCCGTGTTCGGCCGCGAGTGTGCGGAGTGCCGAGCAGCCGTGCCGGCCCAAGAACCGTCGTTATTTTGGGGAGCAGACAAATTCTGTTTCCGCCATCAAAAAAAAATTGATGATGATGACTTTCTCTCCACGGAAGTGTGTCGCTTGCTCTTCCACCGTTATGAAATGGCCTTCATCAAAAGGGG